TTAATATATTTTAGGAGACACAATCATTATATAATTACTTCCTGCAGGACTATTTGGTTAGAGACTGGGGAAATTAAGCCATTACTAAAGAAAGAATCTATCTGTGACTGGTGAAGCTGAAGGCTCACAGAAAGAATAATTTTAACGAATTTTTTTTTCAAATTAGGTCCCATGTAACCTCCTGTGAATCAGAGTTCAGTCTAGTAACTGGATAATTTTCAGATGGATTAACTCATGCTCATGCCTGCTGTCTTCTGTCTCAAAAGAGTCTGTCCTGTTCTGCATCTAGAAATGGAAATCATACCCTTAAATAGGTCTAGTTTCTGGACATAAGTTTTTTTTCCAAACCCTTGCAAAAAGCACTTTTCAGGGGAAGTTTTATTTATTTTTATTTTACTGTTATAAATGCATTTATGGGGATGGCCAGAAGAGTTACAGTTTTCAGTAGAGATTATTAATAGTTAAACTTCATGAGTTCAGATTAGTTGTGAAGAAGAACTACAGGAAAGAATAAATAATATAGAAAACAATTAAAGTATTGAAAATTGGCTAGATGTTGCCTAATAAAAGTTTCAGTTTAATGATTAGTTTTTATTTAGCATTTTAAACTTCCAACCCAGATAATTATAAGCAGGAGATAATGTTGTTTATAATACATTATTTAAAACAGTTCTAAACAGTTGTGTATGTAACAGTGAGCATTCCTCTTCCATTTGTGTAAATCATTAATCGATCCCCCCCCTCCCCCAGGAAGCCCATCTTCTAATGGATAAAGTTTAGTCAAGCACCTATTTTGAGTTTCCCATATAATCAGTTCATTCCGGACTTTAAAGTGATAATTATATGTGAAACATAGTAGATCAGAGAAAAGAATAAAAGTAACAGCTTTAAGTTAGTATTAGAAATTAAACCATTCTCAACATTAACATTCTCAGATATTATTCCTCTGGTTTCCAAAGGTACATGATTACTTTTTTCCCCTATAGAAATTCTAAATATGTACAAAACTAGATAGCATATACAAAATATGTACATATACAGATATACATATATAGAATATACAAAACTAGACAATACTATAATGTACCCATCACCTGCTTCAACTATTATCAATTTATGGCCAATCTCAGATCATGTATATCTTTTCTCTCTCTCCTTCCCTCCTCCTTGTCCATATTAAGACAAATCCCAAACCTTATAGCATTTCATCTGTAAATGTTTGTGTGTGTTCTTTAAAGATAACAGATATAACCACAGTGCCATTATCACACCTGAAAATTAACCATAATTTATAGAAGTTATAGGAGTTGGAGTGAGGGAGAATGACTGGTTAATGGTTAGAGAGTTTCTGTTTGAGATGATGAAAACGTTTTGGAAATAGTAGTGATAGTTGCACAACATTGTGCAACTGAATTACATGTGTTAAAATGGCTGTTTTTTATAAGTATTTACCACAATAAAGTTATTTTGTGAAAAAAGATAGACCAAGGCAATGGAAATAGAAAGATATTTTATTTTTTGCTATCATCAGCTCCTGAGAAATCTGACAGTCTTTTCAATGCAGTAGAATTTACATACCATATCACCTTTTTATTAAAGGAGGAGAAGAAATGTGAGCCATTTCTTTTCCTTTGACTTTGTCAGAACCTGTAAATCACAACCTCTTCATGTTTATGGATACTGAAGGCTAACACACTGGGTGATATCTCACCTCTGTATAGCACTTGACAGTTTCCATACAATGTTTAATCGAATCTTGTGATGATTCTACATTATATCTAAATGGATTTCATAGAAGTCTCTTTTTGGTTTGCAGGTCTGATAGAAGTCTGGATCATCCTGCTGGAGCAGCTAACAGCAGCTGTGTCCAATTGTCCCCGCCAGCACCAGCCACCAACCTTGGATTTGCTCTTTGAGCTGTTGAGAGATGTTACCAAAACACCTGGTAAGTATTCTATATCTGTTTTAGGGAGAAGTTGTTATACGTACAACTTTTTTTCAGGAAGGTATTTTTTGCAGATGTCTACCTATTTTCATTGTTTCCTAGACTTAGCACAAAGCTTCACACATAAAATATGCAAATAATTATTTGCTGAATGTTATGATGAAGTGATGTTTAAGATATGTCCCATGTAGTGTTTCCATTTCTTCCCAGAAGTCCATTTTCAAATATCATGGCCAGTTAGTGGGGTGTGCAGGAGCCCCGTGTTAACTGGGCCACAGCTGTGTATCAGTGTCACATTCCATGATCACAGCCTTCCTTGGTGGCAGGATCTCACAGTCACTCTCTCTTGGCCCCAGGGCTGTGGGTTGCGTTCACCAGATCTACCACTGACATAAAGAGACTGCTTGTAAATATATGCAGTAGTATCAAGACAGCAACACCTTGTTTGTGTAAACGTCATAGGTGATAGGATTTGGAAAAAGATATTTAGTGCTCACCTAGTACAGCCTCTGACAGTATAAAAAAAGAATGACCCTTAGTAATTTTCTTGTTCTGAATTAATCAAGTTTAATATACATTCATTCATCCCAATTTTCCCAAGATCAAAGCAGCTTTTTACTAACAGAATCAGAACCCTAAATCAAACCACTAATTAATTCCACAGTAAGAAGATGAGGTCTGTATTCATTATAATAAAGACTTGATAATTGATACTTTTTCAAAATCTATACCAAAGTTTGTATCGGAATTTTTTTAAAAACAAAATACCTTACCTACTCCCATATGTTAGAAAGTTAAAAGCCTTCCATCAAATAAGTATTTTATAGAATTATTTATATGCACTAAATCCATTTTACTGGTCAGCACAATTTCCTGCTTTCACATTGATTGTCGCTAAATGTGTGTAAGAAGCATTTAACCCGATATTTATACTCTTAAGAGTCTATCATCTAAGGAAACTAACTGTAATAAAGACAAAAATCCATATATAAGATATTTGCTTAAATGTCTTGAACATAAATAAATAATGAACACCCTAAATTAAAGGCAGTTAAGTAAATCATGGTAAAAGCATTTACATATTCTACAGGCATTAAAATTAATATTTGTGAATAATATTTAATGACACAATTAATTATGAAAAATGCTACTGAAGACCCTATATTCCCCAATTGGTGGTAAATTCTTTTTCCTTGTACTTTTTCAGAAGATGGGGACAAAAAGATCGGCAGTGCCAAGCATTGGCAGGGCACTTCCCTTTAATGACAGGCTGTTGCTCATATCACAGTTTTGCCTCTGACTTTTTTCTTTTTTAGGACCAGGGTTCGGTATCTATGCAGTCGTTCACCTTCTCCTTCCTGTGATGTCCCTATGGCTCCGCCGTAGCCATAAAGACCATTCCTACTGGGACGTGGCCTCTGCTAATTTCAAGCATGCCATCGGTCTGTCCTGCGAGCTGGTGGTAGAGCACATTCAGAGCTTTCTACACTCAGGTACCCACAGCGCCAGAGCAGTTCCTTTGGACTGTTTCTCTAGTAGGCAGCAGCACTGCCTAAAAGAGCTTAGTAAATACCTAATGCAAATACTGGTAATTATTAAAACAATTAATTACATGGTCAGTGCCAGCCTTCTAATAGTAGATCATCAAAGAGAAAACTGCTACCCTTGTATCCTCTACAAAATTATCAAACAGAATACTCAAAATACACACGTGGTGGAAAATAAAATACCTAGTAAGAGGTCTAGGATATCTGTGCATTAGGAGAGGGGAAATACATTTGAGTATATAATAAGTAAAAAAGAAGCACTATCACTGTAACCTATGGGTAGAGAGGGGGTATACCTGGGGGTGGAAAGGGGATATAGCTTGCTGTCCTGCTTCAGTTAAGGAGCCTAAAGGGAAGAAGTAGGGTTTGATCCCATTTTGGGCAAAAAGTAGCTTAACAGGCTCAAGATGAAGAGAAGTTTCTAAATTATCTGTGGCACTTTCACATCTTTTTTCAAAGTCTAGGGTCAACTGTACGTTGAAGTCAGCAGATGGAGAGGGAGGGACCTAGAGGCAGAGGGATTGTGTCAGCTGTGATACCAGTAGAACCACATGTGTGAAGATCTGGAAGTTTGGGAGCAGAAGAACCATCACTGAGGGCCACAGAGCTTATAAATAGAAGGCAAAAGCGTGTGGAAGTGAAAGGGGAGAGCCGTCCTTGCTGGAGAGGGTAGAGAAACTAAGGAGAACATGGACCCCCAAGGGGGAGAGTCACAAAGCAGAGATAACTGTGTCTCTACTAAGTTTAGCAAGGACAATTTGCCCTGCCAAAAAAGAACAATTGAGAAAGAAAACAAGTGGGGTTTTTCCATATGTAGGTGGTAAACCAGACCCTATCCCTCGGGGTCCGTGTGCTTAACCAGGGCATAGCTTTGCACAACGTGGGACCCTGGAGGATTCTTCTGTGTGGTTACAAGGACCTTGAGGAAAAATTCCTTGAATTGGCCAAATGTGGTTTTTAAAAGTGCTATCTTCTTTAGTCTGGAGCTAGGGTGCAGACTGAAGCCAGACTAACAAGGTTCAACAAGTGGTAGGACTAGAGATTTTTTTGTTTTCCAGGAGCATTTAATTCATTTTAGTTTGGTATCAGCAGTAAGGAAAGTATGTTTTACCTTATCCTTTCTTAAAAAAAAATTAAAATTTTTACCAGCTAGTAGAATATATGATTAAATATAGCTTAAATACTGTATCTATTCTGTTTAAGTAGATGAATTATACACTTTATTTTGAAACAAGTTTATCAACACATAAAAGTGAACCATATATTTCATCTTGATTTATCTAGAAATGAATTAAGCTAAAACTGGATACAAATTAGAAAGTTTCACTGGATTTTTTTTGGTATGGCCATTTTTTTCTCATTGTTCTATTTTTCTGATAATTATGTACCTTTTTATGACTCAGACTTCGCTCTTTTGCTATAGATGGCCATTTCGGTCTGTCCCTTTACACTAGAGCTGAGTGATACCTTGTCTCTTTCCTCCTGTAGACATCAGGTATGAGAGCATGATCAATGCCATGCTGAGGGACCTCTTCGAGCTACTGGTAGCGTGTGTGGCCAAGCCCACAGAAACCATCTCCAGAGTGGGATGCTCCTGTATTAGGTGAGAAAAAAATTTCCTGGCTCTCTACAAAGTTGAATTTTCATTACACAATCCAAGGAAATTACATTATCTTTGTAGTAGCAATCCACTTTTTGGATTGCTTTTTATAATTAAAAATGACCACGTGCTGATAATTCTGTATTCCCATGTTCAGGCAGCCAATATTTATCATGTGAGGCATGATACAGAGTACTCTGGTTCAGAGAAAGTGATATATGTAAAGTCCTTACCCTCAAAGAGCTTAGAGCCTATTTAAAATGATGTAACAGAGAGAGGGTCCCATCAAAAATAATATAGTGAGGAGTTAAGTGATAAATGCCAAGAAAGGACAGGAAGCTGCCAGCAAGGGCTTAGTCATAGCAGTGACACTTGGTCATATCCTCTAAGGTGGGCACTTGCTAGGTGGGGACTTTCCAAGTAGGAGAACAAAATGAACAAATGCATGGAGATAAGAATTATAAGTGATAATAAAAGGGTTTGGGGTTTGGTTTGATGTATTATTTGTAGAGCAGTGGTAGAAAATGTGGCTAGAATGGAGTCATCAGTACAGAATACATACAGTCTTGCATACAAGTCTAAGTTTAATCATTGGCCTATTTATAGTGGGGACCCTTTGATATTTTTTAGTAAAATGGTTTATGAAGTAGCACGTCGACAATGGGATATCGGATGGGTGGAAGGCAAGAGTGGTAAGAGACAGAAAGACTTGCAGGGAAATTACAGGATACATGTAGGCATGAGTCCATAAGGGCCGAAATTTTGTGGCAGCAAAGTGTCTGGATTCCAGACTTCTTTCCTTGTTTCTTGGGCAGGTACGTGCTGGTGACAGCGGGCCCCGTGTTCACAGAAGAAATGTGGAGGCTTGCCTGCTGCGCCCTGCAGGACGCGTTCTCGGCCACACTCAAGCCAGTGAAGGTAAATGGCTGGGAGGAGAGAGCCTTAGCTCCCTGAGGCGTTACCAAGCTGGGCACCTGGGTTCCACCTGCCTCCTCAGAGCAGAGGGTGAGAAAGAAGTTGCAGGGTCAATACTTTTGTCCCAGGCATAGTGACAATGTCAAATCCAAGACTATGCCTGGCACCATGAACCAGGATGCACCCAGTGAGGACCTGCTGTCTCTCCCCAGGACCTGCTGGGCTGCTTCCACAGCGGCACCGAGAGCTTCAGCGGCGAAGGCTGCCAGGTGCGGGTGGCGGCCCCCTCCTCCTCCCCCAGCGCCGAGGCCGAGTACTGGCGCATCCGAGCTATGGCCCAGCAGGTAAGGGCTGGGGCTTTTGATCTCAGTGATTCTAGAACCTTGAAATACATGTTGGCGGTCCTTCCTGAAGGTCTTGCCTCACCAAACTATCAGGAATGACTTGGACCAGATCACAGTGTCATCTCTTCTCCATCTCTTGCTTGTTGCATCTTCCAGTGCCCAGATCAAATAATCTCCTTCCTGCAGCCTGGCCACTGTATTTTATCCACACCTTGCCTCAAGTACCTCTAAGTATTTGCTTACATATTATTGTTACTGCTAGAGTACGAGTGCCTAATGAGGGCACACTTACTGGATATTTTCTTATGTCTCCCATACAGATCACAGAACTTAACATTTAAAAAGTTGGTTGTGAATACTTGAGGAGCAAAGAACGTATCCTGTACATTTACCTTGGTATTCTTACAGCAAGGCATAGAGAAGATGCTTAGTATGTGTTTGTTGATTCAATGAATTACTGAATCACAGAAGACCGTATAGTATTAGCACAAGCTACAGCTATGCCCCTAAGTGCTGTGGCAATCTGCCTGTAAGAAACCCTGTATGGGGCTTTCAGCAGCAGGATAACTAAATGCTACCCCTAAATTCACATACGTTCATAACAATGCTATGCATAGTAGTGAAAAAATAAAATTGGACAAAATTCTCAACAGTCATTGACTAGCTAAACGATCCATCATGGCATAGCAACAGACATGTTTGAATTGTGTCTTCCCCATGTAGAAATTATGTGGCATGTATGTGTGTTTATAATATTAAACAGGTTTTACAAATATATATATGAACTGTCAGATTTGCATTAATTTTAAAGAAATAATATACATTGGAGGTATACTCAAAAGGCTCTTTTTCTCTACAAGATCTGCTTTAATTCTTAAAGTTTTCTCTTAGCACACTGATAATTTAAAAGTTCCTTACCTGGGTAATCAGGGGATCCATCAGTTGAGATGTTTCCTAGGCAGGCCTGGCATCTGGAGGGCTTCTTCAGGTAGTGAATCAAGAACTTTTTGCCTCTACTTGCTCACATCATCTGCTGAGCACATTCATAACATCCAGGACATGGTGATTCTGCTGGTTCTGAAGGAGGGAGCGCATCCCCACAGAAGCCTCCATGGCCAGTCTGCAGAAGTTAGGACAGAAGAACAGCTGTGAGGCTGCCATAAAGAGCCACTGCCAACAGCATGGCAGCTGTGAGTTCCGTAGCTAGTGTGGCTAGGAGCAATAGCAGAGAAACAGAGGGTGGCCCTCCAAAGGGATAGCTTCTCTAAATGAGTTGTTGTTATACCCAGCTAGATAAAGACTTCACATATGCGTACACTAGTCTCTTCAACCATATCCAACCATACAGCAAGAATATGAAAATGTCAATGAGTTCCTCTTCTGAAATAGATTGAAGAAGAACAGAGAGAAGTTTTCAGTGAATCTTTAGCTTCTTGATAATTGTCTTTCTCAGTCCAAAATCTTTCTCCCGTTTTCACTCTTAGGATAACCCCATATTCAATAATCTGATAATTCTTACAAGATTTGGAAAGAAAAGGTTTCTTTAACATTATTCTTTCCAAAGTAAAGTAGCGAAGGTATTTCAAGTCATGTAAAGTGAAATCATTAGGATCAGAGATCCAGTAAGCACTTACTATTTTCTTAGTCACATCTGCCATTGCCTAGTAGAGTCACGTGGCCACATCACTAGTCCTGACAGAAGTCCTAATTAATTCCTTATTCCTGTGTTGGATGTAATAGGATACCAAACAGACTCAAAATCAGAGATGACCTTTTACAAACATAGCCCCTCTTTATTTACTCTTAATTAATATTAAATGCCAGTGCTTTCTATTTGGAATATAATGAATTGTCAAATGGTAGAACTAGTAATGTTATTAGTGTCAGCAGCTAACACTTATTGAGTATTTACTCTTCTGTTCTAATGATTTGCCTACATAATACATAAAAATACATAAAAATCAACTCGTTTAATTCTCTCAATAAACATACCAGGTAGGAAATCATTCTCAGCCTCATTTTATAGCTCGAGAAATGAGTAGACAGAACAGACCACTTGCCCAAGACCATCCAGCTAATCCCTGGTGGAGCCAGTGGAGGGGGTGGGGTTCTGAACTGTGCCTTTGTGTCCCCACGCAGGTGTTTATGTTGGACACCCAGTGCTCCCCAAAGACTCCAAACAACTTCGATCATGCTCAATCCTGTCAGCTCATCATTGAGCTGCCTCCTGATGAGAAACCCAACGGACACACCAAGAAAAGGTGAGCACCTAAGTTTCAACACATATGGTGCTTAAAAATTAGAAAGTTAATTTATTCCTACCTCTTGCTCATTATAATCCAGGCTTTGGCCAAGAATACTGAAAACATGTGGAATCATTTGGGAACAGTTTTCATAAAAACTGTTAGCCTTTTAATCAAATTTCCCACATTTCATATGTATGAGTTTGCTCAGGCTATCACAAACTACCACAGACTGGTAACTTAAACAATAGAAATTTACTTCTCACAATTCTGGAGTCTAGAAGTCAGAGATCAAGTGCATGGGGGAGGGGTAAAAATAGAAGTCAGGGATCGAGGTGTTGGCAGGGTTTCTTCTGAGGTCTCTCACCTTAGCATGTAGGTGGCTGTCGTCTTCCTGTATCTATGTCCAAATTTCCTCCTATAAAGGCACCAGTTATATTGGATTAGGACCAACCTTAATGACCTCATTTTGACTTAATTATCTCTTTAGCAAGTCTCTCACCAAAATACAGTCACATTCCAAGGTAGCATAGTACTTAGGATTTCAATATATGAGTTTGTAAGGGACATTCCCAGCCCATAACATCATGCATATTATAACCTTTTTTAAATTGTAACTTGAGGCATAGTTCATATTGTTTCAGTGAAAAATACATAAACTTCTCCATGAATAACACAGTGGTTAGGAGACAAAAAGATCTGCGCTTTGCCACAGGAAACTTGCCCTTTTAAATACTATCATCCTGCTGAAAAAAATATTGTTCCTAGAGTTGAAGATGAAGGCATGACTGACATTTCCATTTTTAAACTTCTGATACATTAATACTAATGATAAGTGTTTGAGCACTGTATGTGAAGACCAGAGGGTAGATGTTTCCACTCCCATTTTACCCATGACCACACATTTAGAGAGGCTGGGTCACTTAGTCAAGGACACACAACTGTAAAGTGGTATAGCCAGAATCAGAACTGGGTTTCCTGAATATAAGGCCTCTGCCCTTTCCCATTTCAGGAAGAGAGTTGGTGCAATGGACTGAATGCCCATATGTCAACTTCCTATGATTTAATCCTCACCCCCAATGTGATGGGATTAGGAGATGAGACCTTGAGAGGAAATTAGGTCATGAGGGTAGAAACCTCATGAATGGAATTAGTGCCCTAAAAGAAGAGATGTGAGACAGTCCTCTTTCTGCTGTGTGAGGATACAATGAAAAGATAGTTGTCAGCAGTGGGGAAGAGGGCCCTCACCAAGACAGGACCATGCTGGCATGGCACCCTGACCTCAGCCTTCCAGTCTCCATAACTGTGGGAAATCATTTTCTACCTTTTCAATGCCTCCCAATCTGAGACAATTGGTATCATTTTATGAGCTCTGAGAGATTTGTCCAAAAGTTAGCTAGTTAACATAGCAATTTGATTAATACCACCATATGAGTGAAATTCCTAGGTAATAATTTTTTTACTCAAGTGTTGCTATACACAAAAAGAGTATGTGGAATGTTCAAAAGTTATCAAGTGTGAATAAAAACTAAAATAAATATGAACCTGCTTCCCAACTTCAGAAATAGAACATTCCCAATATCCCATGGAAATGGATCCTCCCCAGTTCTAGCCCCTGCCTCCCTCAACTGTCAGTCACTAGTTTTTAAGTGTTGGATCTTTTTAAAATCTATTTTATGGGCCAAAGATTGTGCAGTCCTTTCAGATCTTTAAACATTGACCTACTTCAGAATTTCGTTTCTTTTCCTACCTCTTTTTTTTATGCTTCTTACTAGAACATTTTTGAAGTAAAGGCAGGGAAAAAGGAATAATAATAGGCTGGATTCAAACTACAAATACAACATAGGAATAATAACATAACCTAAATGTTATTGGTTTAAAAGGTTAAATTTACTTAGCACTTTTAATAGGCAATTATTGACTCACTGTAGTTAAGTAAAACAGGAAAAGCATATTAAATTTTTAGCCAATGCCACTGAGCCAAAAGACATTCCCTACCATTCTTTAGTCAGCAGAGGCAACTCTTAGCATAGGATGCCATGGAAGATCCTTAACAAACCTAAGGAAAGTTTGTTATATACTGGTCAGGTGCATCCTTAAAGGTCCATGTTAAAATCACCATGGAAAAAAAGACCTAAACTAAAGCCAGATAAGAGCATTCAAATAAAGAGAAATCTGGGTTTGTTTTAAAAAGCTTTGGCACTGATAGCCCCAAGCTTTACTCAATCCACAACATCTTAATTAGAGCTTTAAGATGTAGTTTAAACTATGAATCTGTTTATCTCTGATACTGACATTAGCATGTTTTAAGTCAATGCTTATTATGCAATTAACTCTCAATTATCCAATCTGGAGGCTGGCTTTCAGAAGCAGGAAGATTGCAGTCCCCTTCTTAAAGGTGTGCTGAGAAAAAGGTGGAAACACTTGGGTACAATGAATTGGAAAGTTATTTGTTGATTTTGTTTGAGATCTTTCTTGTCTGTCAGCATAGCAGATTAAGAATTACATATCTTTTAGCTCAAACCTAAATTAAAGGATATGTTGTTCTGGTATACATGCATAGTTAGCAATTTTATATCTTAAAGCATTAAAAAGATGGTTTTGCTTGATAAAGATATTCCACAATCCAAAGATGGCTTTATGCTAGTCCTCTTTTCAGGTGTTTGCTAGAAAATGGATTTCCATTTCCCAGGGAAGTAACAGAAAGTATCCCTGTGGGTCAAGGGTTTTACCCCTGCAGAAGGATGATCCAGCTCTTCCTTCTGGTTGTGCTTCCTGCTTCTGGAGTCCGGACCCTAGGGGGAGTTCCGTTGAAGTGTCAGAGCCATTTGTTAAGGAGAGCTGTTCCTCCAGGCAGTGATCTCTGGAGCAGCCCACTCCCAGGGCTTTTGTCATTTGGTTTGTTTTGGAGACTTACCGAGTACTGCTGTCACCAGACTGTCACCAGACATTTTCCCAGTTACTGGAAATAAGATGCTGCCGTTTCCCTTGAGGATGTTACAGTATCATGAGGAGAGACTTGCATGATCAGTGAAGGATTTCCTTTCTTAGTTAGGGTGCTATAGTCTGGACAGGAGACACCAGACCAAACTGGTAGCTTTCAGAGCCCTCTTCTTCAGAAGAATTTGTATTCAGGTTTCCTAATAATTTAAGTCACTTAAGTAGAAGCTGACAGGAGAGGAATGGAGAGTTATTGTGTAATGGATACAGAGTTAGGGATGATGGAAAAGTTCTAGAAATAGTGGTGGTGCTCTGTTACACAACGTTGTAAATATACTTAATACCACTGACGTGTACACATGAAAATGGTAACTTTGTTATGTATATTTTACCACAAAAAGTTAAAGTGATTTATCCAAAAAGGTTGTTTTTGAATGACAGTCCTTTGTTACTCATTTCTTCTTCCTTGAACGTAATGTGTTTTACCTCAGTGACAACTACCAAAGGGCAAAGTTAGCATTTAGATTTTTGTAAGATTTTTACTTTTCCTGCTAACTTACAAAAATAATAGTTGTACCTTTGAAATCAATGTTGTTAATAAGAGTTGTCATAATTTTATAATTATCCAGTTTGGGGAATTAGTTGGCAATATAATGTCATAAGCTATTTTTACAAAATTCTAATACCAATGAAAAGAAAATGAAACAATAAACCCAAAACCACATTGGTGAATTATTAGTAAAACGTCTGGTTGGGCATCTCTACTCCAAAAATTTGAAATCCAAAACGCTCCAACGTTTCAAACTTTTTGAGCACTGACATAGTGCCTGCTGCAAGTGGATGTCATATGACCTCATGTGATGGGTCACAGTCAAAAAGGAGATGCACAACATACTCAACACCCCCCCCAAAAAAGACCCTCCCAGCCCCTTCTACTGCGATGTATCAATTCCACATTTGCCCAGATGGTTACCATATAATGCCCCCAGAAGTTTGCAATTTCACATATATCACTGGGTGATGTCTGCATGGCCTTGAAATAACTGATATAAGACAAGACATAGGATATGACACCATTATTGATCAACCTCTTTCTTTTTGAAGCGTCTCTTTCAGGGAAATCGTGGTGAGCCTGCTGTCCCATCAGGTGTTACTCCAGAACCTGTACGACATCCTGTTGGAGGAGTTTGTCAAAGGCCCCTCTCCCGGGGAGGAGAAGACGCCGCAGGTGCCGGAGCCCAAGCTGGCCGGCTTCCTGCGCTACATATCCATGCAGAACTTGGCGGTCATATTCGACCTGCTGCTGGACTCGTACCGGACGGCCAGGGAGTTTGACACCAGCCCCGGGCTGAAGTGCCTGCTGAAGAAGGTGTCTGGCATCGGGGGCGCCGCCAACCTCTACCGCCAGTCCGCGATGAGCTTCAACATTTACTTCCACGCGCTGGTGTGCGCCGTCCTCACCAATCAGGAAACCATCACTGCCGAGCAGGTGAAGAAGGTCCTTTTCGAGGACGACGAGAGGAGCACGGACTCCTCCCAGCAGTGCTCGTCGGAGGACGAAGACATCTTCGAGGAGACGGCCCAGGTCAGCCCGCCGCGGGGCAAGGAGAAGCGGCAGTGGCGCGCGCGGCTGCCGTCGCTGAGCGTGCAGCCGGTGAGCAACGCGGACTGGGTGTGGCTGGTGAAGCGGCTGCACAAGCTGTGCATGGAGCTGTGCAACCACTACATCCAGATGCACCTGGACCTGGAGAACTGCGCGGAGGAGCCGCCGGCCTTCAAGGGCGACCCGTTCTTCATCCTGCCCTCCTTCCAGTCCGAGTCGTCCACCCCGTCCACGGGCGGCTTCTCCGGGAAGGACACGCCTTCCGAGGACGACCGGGGCCAGCCCCGCGAGCGCGCCGCCGAGTCCCCGAGCCTGAGGGCGGGCGGCGGGGACGCGCTGCTGCTGCTGCCGCCGCCCAGCCCCAAGGTGGAGAAGAAGGACCCCGGCCGCAAGAAGGAGTGGTGGGAGAACGCGGGGAACAAGATCTACACCATGGCGGCCGACAGGACCATCTCGAAGCTGATGACTGAGTACAAAAAGAGGAAACAGCAGCACAACCTGCCCACGTTCCCCAAAGACGTCAAAGTGGAGAAGAAGGGAGAGCCGCTGGGCCCCAGAGGCCAGGACTCCCCGCTGCTTCAGCGGCCGCAGCACCTGGTGGACCAAGGACAGATGCGACATTCCTTCAGCGCGGGCCCCGAGCTGCTGCGGCAGGACAAGAGACCCCGCTCGGGCTCCACCGGGAGCTCCCTGAGTGTCTCGGTGAGGGACGCCGAAGCACAGATCCAGGTAGGCACCCGGGGCCGGGTTTCCGAGTGAGGTGTCCCGTGCAGAGCTCACGTACGTGGTCTAAGATGTGATCGAACCAGCAGGGGATACGGACCCACTTTACCTCCCAAGTCAGGGGACTGCCTGAGCCTAAGATGTAGGGTCTG